GATGTTAACAGGAAAGTGCTAATAGGAAGCCCATTTTATCCCAAAAGCTATAAATTACATCATCATGAGGGGCACCTGTCAGTTAAGGAGCTAGGTTTTAGTGTCTTCACCACCACTTACTGTTAGTCAAATCACGTCAGGTCTTTCTGCCTCCATTTTCCCATCTGAAAAATGAGAAGGTAAAAAGAAACACACACAACAATGAGAGATTAGGACTAGATGGCCTCTAATCTCATTTCCAGCTCTCAAAGCCTGTGACCCATATACCTATCCCATAGACCTTTGTATGTTACCTACATGTCCTCAGAAGGAATTGAAAACAAAGTTGGATAAGCACAAAATCCTTGAAGGAAGATGAAAGAATTCAGGCCTATTTATATTTAGGTATCTTTTGTAGAGTTAAATTCATTTCTAATCTAAAGAAAAGTCGGTGCAGCATTTTCTTTGATTAAAAATGAGTAGGCAGGCGTCAAAGAAACAGTTCGTAATGTCAGGACTTAGAACCAATGTATTTGCTTGGCCTTGAGGTCCTTAAGTAGTAGTTCCCTCCGTAATCATACATATTTTTATGAAATTAACCTTTCCTTTGATACACCTGTTCCCCACATCAAGAACAGACTACATTTGATTATATGGGGTACTCAAATGGACTGGTTTCTCCTCCCGTGCTTCAAATCTAGGTCACGCTTTTGACATTCCTGAACTCTATTTACAAATGCCCCCTCCCTGCCAGAGAGCAATAGGGGCCTTTGCCTTTTAAGAGCAGCCTGTGGTAATTGACACAGCGGGAAGAGAAAGAGGTCACTGAGACAGAAACAATAACAGCCGCTAATGCTGAGAAAGAAATAGGAGCTTCTCTACATTTATCTGCCCTTGGAAACCAAAATAACTCTTCAAGAGAAAATGGGTGGGTGTTGCTGGGGGGAGGGGAACTGGAGAGCTGGAAGAGATGTGGGTGAAAACCTTGTCAATACTCCCTTTCTTCTGTCACAATAATAGGGATTGTTCATTTATTCCAGAGAGCTGGGAATTGGGAGCAGGGAGAGAGAGAGAGTGGGGAAGAGTTTGGTTTGTAGACCTTGTTCTAGATAGACAGATGTTGGTCAAAGAGAGATGAGGTCTAGGTATTAAAAATGTTCACTTGCCATGACTGGGCCTTGAACCCATGGTTAGGGATTCCTCCATAGCATTCTCTAGCATTTGTGTCATACTCTTCTTAGAGTGATTAAAAAAAAAAAAAAAAAAAAAAAATATATATATATATATATATATATATATATATATATATATATTATTGATTTCTCACAGAGAGGAAGGGAGAGGGATAGAGAGCTAGAAACATTGACCAGCTGCCTCTTGCACACCCCCTCCTAGGGATGTGCCCACAACCAATGCACATACCCCTGACCGGAATCAAACCTGGGACCCTTCAGTCCACAGGCTGACGCTCATCTATCCACTGAGCCAAACCGGTTTCAGCTAATTTTTTTTAATTTTGATCTGCCTCCCCTATTGGACCTCGAGTCTCATGAGCAAAGTCATATACTCCTGTACGTGGAGCTGAGCTCATGCTTGGCTTCTAGAGGAGGCACAAATGTAGAGGAGATACTACATTTTCAAACTGAAGATACCCTGGATAGCAAAGGGCAGCATATCTCTGACTGAAAAGACAGGTTTGGGTTGGCTGCAGCACTTCAGGAGGTTTTTCATTACATAGCCCCTCTTAACTATGAATTAGAAAACAAAGGCCTGCTAATCTGGCCATCCCTCATGTCCAGTGTCCGGCCAAATTGGAGCACTGTATTAAAGAGTGGTCAGGAAATGTGGGAAGGGCCTTAAGCAATAAGGCTCGGGTTTTTATTAAAACCTCGATCTTCACACCCAAAGCCCAAGAAGCATTCACTTTAGAAGAACCGTCACTCCTTGCCCACTGCTATAAAATCTTAAAAATAAATAAATAAAAATAAATAAATAATATATATATATATATATTTATATTTTATTGATTTTTTACAGAGAGGAAGAGAGAGGGATAGAGAGTTAGAAACATTGATGAGAAAAAAAAACATCGATCAGCTGCTTCCTGCACACCCCCTACTGGGGATATGCCCTTGACCGGAATCGAACCCGGGATCTTTCAGTCCGCAGGCCGATGCTCTATACACTGACCCAAACCGGTTTCGGCTGCTATAAAATTTTAATGGGAGATTTTTCCAATCTGTTTAGTACAGAAAAGGGGAAGCCAACTCTCCTGTGCCTGAAGGAAGCTGAAAAGATGAATGTTCTACTAAACCAAGATGTTTAGTAGAACTTCCCAACTATATGCGCCCCTGCAATCTAATCTAAGGCCTATGAGTGGTTTTCTTACCCTCCAGAGCACAAAGATTGCTTATGTTTAAAATTGCCCTGGCTGCACATCATCCAAGAGGCATCCTCCCTCTCCCCTTAACTACGTAAGAGCCTCAGAGCACATCCCTTCCTTTGCCAGAGGAGCTCATAGCAGAGCAGGTGATTTTATCTCACAGTTCCCAGGTGCTGCTAGAATCCGTTCTTTCAATCCCTCCAGCCCACCAGGTATGCTTGCTTTTCCATTCTGGGACTTCCAGGTGTACCCTAGCTTCCTGGTCAGGTTTCATAACTGCATTGAGTCTATCTCTCTAGGATGATTTAAAAAAGCAATTAAATACCCCACATTATTCAGCAGCTGCTAGGGACCAAACAGTGTAGCAAGCTCTATTCCCATAAGACTAGCAGCATCACTGCGAATTGCACAGAGAGGAATTCCCAGCATAGATCTGTCTTAATTCCTAAATGACACGGGATGAAACTGAAGATAAAAAAGACTGTTACGGACTCCAAATCACAGAGACTTGTTAAATCGTAGTGGCAGGGCCACATTCAAACCCAAGTTTTTGTATACCAAAACTGTAGCTTCTGTAGCCAAAATCTAAATTTTCTGAAGAAAAGCACAGATGTGAGGATCCTTATAAATCTCCGACTTTAAGAATAGATCTTTTCTTTCTCTTTACTTTCTCGCTAGAGCCTGTATTTTCTTTTTCTTTTAAGTATATTTTATTGATTTTTACATCCTTGTATCTCCAGTGTCCACTAGTAGTTCTGGCTCATAGCCGGTGCCAAATAAGCCAAACCAACGATTGAATGGTTATTGAGGGTAGGGTGAGTCATTACAATGACTCCTAGAGAGACTTTTGACCACTCCTGGAAAAAGGATAGTCTGAGCTGGCGAGCCACAGGGAATATGTGGGGAGCAGTGGGAGCATGAGAAGAAAACGTGGTTCATTATAAAGCCCTGTGTCATGTCTTATTGACGCACGAGTCCGAGTCCTTACACAGAGCCGACATTTATCTGGTCCTCGGGCAGGTTTCCTTTCATTCTATAATTTCAGCTCCATCTGAAGCACCACCATCACTCTTAATTAAGTGGACACAATTCCACAGCCACACATACCTGGCTTCAGTTTTAAATTAGACATTATTTTACTTGGGTAATTGAACCCATTCAAATCTGTTAACAGTAGGATGCTTATGGCCCTTTTGTGCAGTCATTTCCTCTCCCCCTTCCTGGAATCCTGGAAAGGATTCCTAGCAGTGGGTAATAATAATAATAATAACAAAATTAGCTTTGTTTATCAGCATAATGGCCCTCTTCACGTTCACAATTATAGAATGCCAAGCTGAAAGGAAGAATATTGATTAGCTCTGCTTCCCCTAGCGAGCCAAGTTGGGTCAGGGCGAGTCAGAACTAGGACTCACAGACCCTGGCTTCCAGTGATGAGCCCCTTTCCTTCTGCTGCTGCCTGCACTCCAGCTTCTCTGTGCAATCAGGGCTCTCTCTGGACAGCTCTAAATCATCTGCATTAGGAGGAGAGGAATGAGCAGGCACGACTTGGGTGATCCCCCCCATCGCCCTAAAGCCCTATTCTCAATGGTGCTGACTCTAAGGTACTGTTCCGTTAACCGAGGGCTGAGGAGACAGCCCACGAGCACGGCGCCCCGCTGAAAATGTGCCATACACAGAGTTGCGCAGGGGACGGGCCTGCGTGGCGGGCAGGGAAGGCGCTTTTGGTTACTAGCCCGCCCCCAATAAGTGAGGTATCCTCTGAAAGGCCCGCGTGGAGCACCTACTGTGTGCCTAATGAAGAGCTGAGCGGCTGCCTTCTACCCTTCCACAGGCCCCAAGAGCCCTGCGAACCGGCGGACACCGGGAGGGGGGAGTTTGGGAGGGTGGGGGGGGTAAGGTCTGATGCTCATCTCGGGTCTGGCCTTGAACTTGTGTCCAGGTATTTTAAATTCTTCAACATGGTGCCCTGAGTCCTCAAAAGTAAAAATAAAATAAAATAAAATAAAAAATAAAATAATAATAATAATAATAATAATAATAATAATAGGCTTTTCAAAAAGGAAAGGTAATTTTCTTGTGAACAGCTCAACAGGCTCCCTATTCTGGGAGCCTCAAACCTTCTTACCCACGACTCCCCCAAACTCCCCAATCCCCGGGGTCCACGCTGCGGACCGCCGGCCCAGCGGAGCAGGGCGCTGGGGCCGAAGGGCGCCTGTCTCTTTAAGAGCCCCAGAGGCGGCGGTGATTGGCTGTCGCTATGCAGGGCTCTCCTCCCGCTCCCTCCGAGAGCCGCCTCCCCCGCCGCCCTCCGCGCGCCCCTCCGCCCCTGCGCGCCCCCTCCCGCCCGTGCGCGCCCCTCGGCCTCGCAGCCGAGTTCAGCCCCGGCGGCGGCGGCATGGCTGAGGCACCGGCAACAGATGCCGGGCTTTCAGGTTCGCATCCTTAGGCCCCGCTGAGCGCCCCAAGGAGAGAGAGAAGGACCCGGAGAAGGTCCGTCCGGGAAGGCGGGGCGGAGGTGTGGAGATCCCCCCTCTCCCCCCCCCCTAAGGCAGGAGCCCCCGCCCCCCACCGGAGCGATCCCCGCCCTCCGAGCTCCGCCGCCTGCAGCCCCGTCGCCGGCGCCCACCTCTCTCCAGCCATGCCGGGCCGGGCCGCCGATCGGGGCCAGGTCCCCTTGTGCAGCGCCGCGGCCGCGGAGGAGGAAAGCCGCGCGGGGGCCGAGGGCTCGGCGGGCGGCGGCGGCGCTCCGGAGCGGCAGACCATCGTGTGGCGGAACGTCGTCCTGATGAGCCTGCTCCACCTGGCCGCCGCGTACTCCCTGGTGCTGATCCCCAAAGCCCAGCCGCTCACCCTGCTCTGGGGTAAGTCCCGCGGACGCCCCGACCCCCGCTCCCCGCGGGCGGCGGTGGCGAGGCCGCGCCGGGGCGCGCGGGGGCGCGGGTCCGCTGCTGCTTGCGGTGCGGAGCCCCCTCCGCTCTCCTTCGCCGGCCCTGGGCTGCCCGGGCCCCGGGGCCTGCAGTTGCCCGTCCCGATCCTTCTGCCCAGGTATTTCCAACTTCTGCCTCCCCGGCCGTCCTCCCAAGTGGGCGCATCGCTTCGCTCCGCTCCCCGGAGGAGAGCGCGAGGGGCCCGGAGAGGCGCGCGCGGGGAGACGGGGCACCCGCCGAACTCGGCTCTGAGCACTGGACGGAGGACAGGCGGCCCGGAGGTGTCCTCCGAGCGGGTCCCAGGGGCTCTCCTATCTGCCGCCTTCCGGCTCCTCAGTGTCCTGCGCTGGCCGCGGACCTCGGGGCCGAGTTACGGATAAGAAAGAAAGTGGAGGAGGGGTGGCGGTGGAGAGATCTGACCCCAGGGACAGTCTCGATTGCGCGCAAGAGATGGATGAAACCGGCCTTCCTCCTCGCCCCTTCAAGGTCGGCCCCTCTTCCTTGCCTCCTCCGTGATGATCCTCTCTGCCCATCGCACTTCTGCGGCCCCAGAAGTTTCTTGGCGAACACAGGGAGCTCACGTGGAGAGAGCCTTGCCCCCAGGACTAAGCTCGGATGGTGGCCACGCGGAGACCCCTCCAGGCCCGGAACCCCTCGGATCCGTGCGGGCAGGTCTATTCGCACACCTGTGGCTCTCCCGCCGCCTCCTTCCTAGCACCTGCGGGCTGCAGCGGCGAGGGAGCACAGGAGTTCAAACCCCCCCCCCCCCCCAACCCACACACACAACTCCTCTCCCTTCTCTCGGCCCTGGTGCTCTGCCTGATTCCAGACGCTGACTGTGAATCACCTGAAAGACCCCCAGCACAAACTGGTGTGGGCCATCCATCGCCAGTAGTCGGGGACTAAGCGCGCAGGCACTGACTGCCTGGGCCGAGAACAGACCAAGTACTCCGAGGAGCGCTTCCAGCTTCGTTTTTTTTTTTTTTTTTTTTTTTTGAGATCATCAAGGAACAGGGGCAGGAGAAAGAACAACCTACTTTTATTTCCGGAGAGGAAGAGGAAGGACGAAATAAGACCTCTTTCTGCAAAGCTGCTTATTTGACACAGTGCCAGCTTCAGTGCTAGTTGGATAATGATTTCCTTGAAATCCTGTAGACCCTGGGTACTAGCGGGTATGGCTGAAAGGGGATGCAGAGTCGAAAAATGGTGAGAGGGGCATGTGTTTTTGGGAATCATGAAAACTTTTAAAGTCCCCTGAAAGCTTTGGGCAACCCCCTGCTCAGCCCTCCTCACTTCTGTGTCCTTTTCACCAGGGTCTTTGTTTTGCTTTGGTTTGATTTTGGTCTGTCTTCCATCTTCTCTCCAAATGACTAAACTGTAAGATGTCCAGCCATGAATTCGGGAACACACTTCTACCTGCCAGCCAAAGCCCTCAGTGCCCCAGAGCCCCCATGGTGCCCTCCCCTCCCCCTCCAGAGGCAGCACTGTGGGACTTCAGAGGCCCATTTGCCTGGAGGAGAGGTTGGGGCTTAGCCTAATAGCTGATATGTCAGAGAGAGCTCAGGGCAACGTGAGCACTTAAAATATTATCTTACATGTCTGGGGCTCCACGCTGTGCAGCCACTGAACCCCGGTGACTCTGGCATTCCACCAGGAGCCACAGGCTGAGGCCTCTTCTTCAGGCTTGCTAAGTTCTCTCTGCCCTGTCTAGGCTGTGCTCTGCGGTGAAGGCAGAATTTTTGTTTTGAAAGACCTTGGCCAGAGGACACCACCCTTTGGCCCCAAATTCCTCCAGGTTCCTGGGAGAAGTAAACACGCTGAATCTGGTTTCCTCCTTGTGGGGATGTAGCCAAAGCCCATCCTTGTACCTCCCTGCATAGTCTTCTGCTTTAGCCACTTTTCATCAGTTCCATTCTTCCTCTCCCTCTCCCTCTCCCTCTCCCTCTCCCTCTCCCTCTCCCTCTCCCTCTCCCTCTCCCTCTCCCTCTCCCTCTCCCTCTCCCTCTCCCTCTCCCTCTCCCTCTCTCTTAATGTTTTTATATTGATTTCAGAGAGAGGAAGGGAGAGGGAGAGAGAGAGAAACATCAGTGATGAGAGCGACTCATTGATCAGCTGCCTCTTGCTTGCTCCCCACTGGGGATCAGGCCTGCAACCCAGGCTGATGTCCTGATGAGGAATCAAGTGGTGACCTCCTGGTTCATAGGTTGATGCTCACCACGGAGCCACACCGTCCTGGCTCCATTCTCTTGATTTGATTTTCTCCCTCCCTGTGCTTCAGTGCATCCTTAAGAAAAGAAAGAAAAAGAGCAGGCAATGGTGGGTGCCATAGTTTCTAGTTTAAAATTGTGACTTAGGAACATTCCAAACAAAGGAATCTTATATCTGATGGGTATCTCGTGGGAGAAGAAATGAGGGACAAAGACGTGCTAAGATCGGTTGTGCTGTGGCTAGGATATTAGGGCAACTGTTAGGCCAGAGCCACCATCCACTCAAGCTGATTTTCAGAGTAAGCTCTTGTTTCCTTGACCCACAAACTCTCCCTAACCCCTCCCCCCACACTGGATTCTCTTTTACCCCCTCCCTCACTGGCTTTATCCAGTTTTGGGGCTGAATTCATGCACCCCAGTAGGGCTGTTGATCCACGTCAGGGACCTAAGTTGTTGAGGAAACAGGCGGAGCCCATCCACTGCTTGCCGCCTCCCCAGCCCAGGTGAGGTTGCCCTGGCAACAGGAGGCATCCATGCAGGGCATCCAGCAGAGGATGTTAGGTGCTCAGTGTGCGGAGAGTAATCTGCATGGTGGTAAAATGTCATCCATGAGAGATCCATCAGGTTGTTCAGTCCAACCTCCTCCCCGTGCCTACCCCCACCTTTTCATGGCTGTTCCTGGGGCTAGAGCAAGTTATGTTCCTTATGGCCGCGGTGTTCTGAGTGGGCAAGCTTAGAACGGAATGCTCCTGGTGCCCACAGGTCGTAAAGGACGAGTTTATGAGCTTCAAGAACAGAACGCAAACTTCCGTTGGAGGAAAATTTTAACCTGAAGGCTTGAGCTCACAAGAGTGCCTGCTTTGAGGGTTTTGGCCCCAGGAGCGGCTCGTACTGAGTCCCAAGAGGAGCAGAACCGGGGGAGTAAGGAGCAGCAGTCACGGTATCGAAACAGGATTCCTGGGACTTCTTCCCAGGGAGGTCCGTCCCGACTTGTGTCTAGGTCTTCTGATTCTTGGTTTCCAGAAATGGCAGGGGCTTTTCTGCTTTCTCTGGAAATGTCGCCCAAGTCCTGATGACGGTGTATAGGCTGTGTCTCATGGTGACCTCATGGGTTTTGTCCCTTCAAAGGACAGTACCAGGCATGCACAACAGTGATTTGCCCTCTTCTTTCATGCCGCCCAGGGCAAACATGGCCATTGTTAGGATTCTTCGGCATCCCTGGCGCTGGAGCAGCTGGCCAATCCTGAGTGGGACTCAGCCTGTGGGGAGGAAGCTAGAGGCAGCAGGGATTAACAAAGCAGTCTGGGGCCGGGGAGGTCAGGAGAGGCTGGGTTTGGAAAGTGCTGGCCCATCCGCCAAATTCTGGCCAGTAGTGCGAGTTGCCCAAAGTTGAACTGTCTTTTGTCAGGCATTGTGGGTAACCTGCACGGGTCACCCCGATGTCTGCTGGGTTGTGCTACTTTTCCTGCCAAGTCCCTAAGGTTGTTGAGGAGACCAAGTGTGCTGCGCCCAAGGGTTTGGCCAGCCTGAGAGGGGGCGGCGAAGGATGGAGAAAAAAGACAGACAAGAGAAAAAGCTGGGTCTAGGTGGATCTTCTGTGCCTGGCTGAGGCCACAGAACAGATCCAGGCTGCAAAGCTGATGCTTTATTGATAGTCAGGGACAAATAAGGTAATTTACAATGTTCTTGTAAGTTTTACTAATTTTGGCAGCACTTGCTGTCGCTCCCACAGCCCACTAGCTACCCAGGAAAGATGTAGGGAGCAGTCATAAGATGAAGCTTAATTATGCTTAGAGGGCTGTGCCCTCCAAGCTGGGACTTGTTTGCGACTTTGCCAACAGGTCAGTCCAAGGCTTAACCCTTTAACCGCTTCCTACAACCAAGAATGTGTGGTCTTGGACTTCTGTCTTGCCTCCAGGTTTTCAGTGAGAAAGTCTTGAGAGAGAGAGAGAGAAAGAGACAGATCTGAATGTGAATCTTTCTCTCCTACTTAACTTACCAGCTTCAAGGCCTTGGAGCGGTGAACGGCTTTAAACCTCAGCTTTCTCACTTATAAAATGGGTATATTAACACTACTTGCTCACTAAGTGGTGAGAATTAAATTAGATAATATACAACAGCAAAACAATCATAGTAGGGGACTTTAATACCCCATTGACATCATTGGATAAATCTTCTAGACAAAAAATCAGCAAGGAAACAGAAAACCTAAATGACTCACTAGATCAGATGGAACTAATTGGCATCTTCAGAACATTTCACCCCTAAGTTATAGAATATACATTCTCCTCAAATGGACATTGGCATTTTCAAAGATAGACCACGTGTTAGGACATAGACGAAGTCTCTACAAATTCAAGAAGATTGAAATCACAAATTAGATAATATATATAAATTACTTAGCGTAGTGCCTGGCCCTAGGTTGGTGTACAGTGATTGTCAGCTGCCATTATTATTATTATCGGACCTAACACTAGCAGATTTTCTTTGGCAGGGGGGGGAAAAGGCCCTTTTGCAGCACAATACATTCTACAGAGCCTGCACAGTACTTGTCTTCATTGCCTCTCCTGCGTGGAAAATACGCTCTGGCTTTCTCAAAGTCCCCAAAGAGAAATGAACACAACCCCTTCTGTCCTTCCTCCTTCCCCAAGTCCGTTTCTTCCATTCTATTTCCCTCCAAAAGGCTACTATTTTGTAGATAAGAATCTTTTTTGTTCAGTTGACAAC